TGCTTTTCCCCAAGCCGCTTGTTGCAGAGCAGAATAATTAAGCCCAGAAATGCTGACTTCTGCTGGCAGAGCAGCACCCAGCCCCGGGATCTGCTGATACAGCTCGGCCAGGCTGGGATGGCACCTCCACGGGAGGCAGAGCCAGCCTGGCCAGGGCGCAACATCCAGGCAGGCGCAGCCGCCCCGGGGGAGGCGAGAGCAGCTCCCGGCAGCCCGCGCTGCCAGACACCGAGCGCGCAGGCAGCTCCAGCAGATGAGACTCCGCTCGGGGCCATCGTCCCGTGGGTACAGGGGCTCAGTACTGCCTCGCTCCCCCAGGAAGGGACGGCCGAGGCCAGGGGATGCTCCCAGGCTGGCAGCTCTATAGATAATGCGTGTGTCCGGGCTGGGCTGAGCGCAGGAGGCTCCTGCCTCCACCTCTGCCCTGCACGCCACGCAGCAGTGGCACAGAGGAGCAGATGTACTTGCGCCGGTGCGAGCGGGGCCAGCCCAGGTGAAGGGCTCCGAGCTGCCGCCCGTGTGGAGGAGGCTCTTGCCACTCCACTCCCAGCCCTGCTTCCTGCAAACCCCTGTCCCTCTCCTGCCGGCTTTGAGCAAGAATTCCCTTTCAAACCTTTTTATCAGTTTTCCCCGCCAAAGATCGGCTGTGTGCAGTTCATTACCACAGGGATCAATAAATGTTTCCTTCCTCCCCTCTACAAGGTGGTTGATTTACTTAGAATAAAAGGCTGGGGAAAAAAACCCCACCTGCCACACAAGAGCTCTAGGAAGCCAAGGCAAGGAAGATTATATTCAGCTCCCAAGGACCAGATATGAATTGCATGGGCCGATAAAGCAGCTTAAGCGCAAACACCGAGACCAAGGCAGCAAGGAACAGACCCAGACAAAACGACGAGGAGCAGAAAGAGCCAGCATGGCAAACAGAGGACACGGCAGCCCCGGGAGCGCCTGGGCCCGCGGGCAGGGAGATGTCGGTGGAAACATCAGCTGTGGCAGGCGCAGAGCGAGGGAGGGCAGAGCTCCGAGGAGCTGCCACCTGCGCGATGGGCAGCCGCGTGGTGCCCCTGTCGTGGGATGCTCCTGCTCAGCCGCAGGCAATGGCACCAGCCCCGCTCGCACC